TCAACATGGAAAAAGGCTCAAACAAGGTTCTACTAAACCACTGATTCAGCTGTCATGTCTACGAGAAATTAATCTGTTAAAGCCACAGAATGTTTCAGTCATACCCAATACCACCTTCACCTCTTGATAATACTAAAAGTTCAAGTCCCAAACTCAATTGACTGAAAAGGCAATAGCTTAGAATCAGCCAGCAGCTACTCTTAAAATTTATTTCTGGACTAGGGGGTTAAAAAAATCAGGATATCTAATCCAGTGATGAATAGCAGTAGTTTCAAAAATACACAAAATCTTTCAAAAGGCAATGATGCCTTGATAAAGCTCTTTGATATCTCAAGAGATAGATCCCTAAAGTCTGTCTAACACAGACACAAATTCCACGTATGTGCTTCTTTCCTCTCTTTGAGTGGGTTCATCAGCTTCATCTAGATTCTCCCATGAATGGATTACATTATTCACTACCCTTACATTTTAAAACATTTTAGCTCTTTCAGTGTACTTAACCGTATTCTAATATATCAAATACAACTAAGCCTAAATATTTCCACATAGACGACCTTCCTAAAACCCTGTGTACCGTCAAAAGTGAACAACTTTGCTTCAGTATGCAACATATCTGCAATTAAAAGCAGATTTACTACCTAGATAGGCAGCTTCATTATATTTCATTATCACATTAGTTGTACTGTGTTATGGGTTAAAACTTTGTCATTTAACTCTTTCATTCCAACTTTCCTCCCTTACCCTAGTTCACTGAGGTCAATGAATATTCACTGAACAAGTCACACAAGAGTACACTTATTATTACACAAATGAGAGTATTCTTATTTCAGATCCAGTGACAAAGGAAAATCCAGTGACTTCTATATAAGGAAAATAAACAGTTTCAAGGCAAGCTGAAATGAAGGGCTTATGAATTAAGAGATGAAAATTCAATCAGCCTTTAAATGCCCCCTATGGAAAGTTCTCTCTCTCCTACATGTAATTAAATTTTAAGTTTGAAAACTGTACAAGAAAAATTTGATTCACAGCTTACAAAAATCATCCACATCTTTTCTGACAGGTCACCTCCCATAACCTCACTAACTTTTAAACAGTTACTAAATGGAGGAAGGAGTAGAAAACAAAACTTCTAGAAAACAGAGCCAGAGTATTTAACAAATTTAACTCTGAAGAATATTGTGAAGTACTTTAAAGGACTGAGGAAACAGTAATTGCTAAGAAATCCATGAATTATAGGCTCTGGACATTAAGAAACAATAAAGAGTGACAGGGACAGATAGCACCTGCCACACACCCAAAGGTCCCTATAGGATCTGGAGATTATTATGTAACTACTCTAACACGAAGAATCCAAAGGAAAAAACTAACAAAAATTCCAAAAGCAGTACCTTTATCTGCATCATAGGATCCCTGCTCACTTCCATTTTCTACAATTCTTCCAGGAAGGGTTAATCTGCAGATTTAATAAAAGGTCTCATGAAGTCCTTAAATTATAAAGTATCATAAGTGGCCATCAGTGATAGCATACATCTACCAGTGAAATCTGTTAACCATTTTAAAAGGAAATTCCTTGGCTTTTAAATTTTACGAAGTAAGTAACTTAGATTTCTTCACTAGCTAAGAAAAAAGAAAACAGGAATGACTCATCTTTCTGTTTGAATATTCACTAGTTACTCATAAAATAGATACTTGAAAACAAAAGCCACAATAAATATAAGTTACCGCTACATGATAGCACTTTCCCCTTCCTAATGAGAGTTATTTATATACCTGTTGCCTGACACAGCAGGAGCTGAATAAAAGAGTACAAACTGGTTTCCAAAAAAAAAAAAAAAAGAACCAAAAATGAGAAAGAATAAGAACCAACAGAAGTAATTGTTTACATTGGGCAAATTACCACTTAGAAAAAAAAAAGCAGAAAGCAAAAGTGTTTTTCTCAAATCTCATTATTACTATATAGGGATTTCCCCCTTTTCTACTAAAGGACATGAACTGATTTCCCTGTTTGCAGTTTTATCCTGGGTCAGTCAGTCTTCCACTGAGGCCCCCAAAAGAATTTTTCTAAAACAGAAAGTTGATTGTCCCTTTCCTATGGAAAAAGCTTCTATGGCTGCTTGACACCGACTAAATAACTTAAACTCATTAGTACTACGTATCAGGCCAGCTCCATTTCATTCCAAACTTAAAATATGAACCTCCTTTCCTCCCATACCCTCCTTCCCTTGTTTCCTATTCCAACACCAACATCATCATCATCATCATCATCATCGAAGCTGGCAGACCCCAAAAGGGCCATGGCTTTACAACCTAGTTACCTTTGATCTCAATGTTTCCTGGAGGTACGACATTTTCCGAACAAAACATCCCTTCTAAACCCAGCGTAAGAATTCAGTTACAAATAAACTGGTTAGTTATAATGGGTACAAACACTAACTTTACTATCAGAATCTGAATTGAGTCCCAGTTCTGCCATTTAACAGTTCTGTAACTTTCTTTGTACAAGTTAATTCACTTCAAGGCTCATATTCCTCATCAATAAAAAGGGGGAATAACAGAATCTGTCCTAGACTTAACCGTGAGGAACAAACAATAATGCCAAATGCCTTGTGACAGGTACAGTAGGCAAGCACCCAGAAAACGTAAGCTATTATTATCAACTCCCTTCTCCTAAACTCTGTAAGTGTAGAGTTAAATTCCTAATGCATGATGGAGAGATCATATTTGTTCACAGATCAGCTTCCCTGCTACATTCTCAATTCTTCAAGGAGAGCAGTGACATTTTGTCTTTAGTATTCTGTAGCAAACTGTATTTTCAAAGATGATCCACCTCACATCACTCCTCCCAATAGTGAATCTATGTCTGCTCCCCTTAAAATTGAGTGAGATTCTGGAACTGTTTTAACCAATGCAATATAGCAGAAGTGACAGTGTAATTTCGGAGGTTAGGTTATTACAGGTGATACGGATTCTGCCTTGCTCCCTGGAACATGTGCACTTAAACTTCCAGCTATTACAGTAGTGGTCCAGCTCCATGAAGGAATCACAAACCAGACCATGAAAAGATATCACATAGGGAGGTCCTGAGACTACAAGAAAAGAGATTCCCTCCTCTGCCTATCTTATCAGTCACCAGCTACTTTGGCCCTTCCTGTCCCAGGTCCAGCTACCATGTGACTACAACTAAATTGAAGACCTCAAGCCAGGACAGCCCAAACAAGCTCTTACCAAATTCTTAATGCAGAAAAACCAGGAGAGGGAGTTAAATGATTGTTTTACATCATTGGGTTTGATCAATTATTTGGCAACAGGTTAACTGCAACAGTAGGTCCCATTAATAAATAATAATACCTACTATTTATTGAACACATAGTTAATTACCAGGCATGGTAGTAAGGACTACACAGGCATTATCTCAATTTTCACATCAACTCTTCAAGAGCACTAGTATTAGTCCCATTTTACAGATTAGGAAGCTGAGACTGAATAATGTGCCAAAAGTCACAGAATTTTAAGTGTGCTGAGACCCACATGTGCCCAACTCCCAAGCCTCTGCTGCCCAAGGAATGGATGAATTTGTATAGAGTATTCTTTACATTGCTTCACACATAGCCTCTTATTTTGTTTTCATTAAAACTCCCAAACTTAAGCAAGTGGCTTTTATTCTCAAATTTTTATTTTACTGTATTTGCTTTATTTTACGATCCTATCTCATTTAAGATCTTTTCTCTGAGCCTCCGATCCCTCATTTCTAACACAGGTAAACAACAGAGCCTACTTTACAGGACTATCCTAAAATCACATGATATAATTCACATAAAGCACTAATCTGGAGTAAAACTTCAATAAATATTTGATAACACGATCATCATCTTCCTATTCTTCATGTTTTGGCTTAAATATCACCTCTTCAGAAAGGCTTTCCCTAGCCACTTTTTATAAACCCAGGCTCCCATTTACTCTCTATTAGGGCACTTTATTTTCCTTCAGGGAAATTACCACAATTCGTAGTTACATGCTTACTTGTTCATTTATTGTTTTTCTCTTCCCCTTAGACCGTAAACTACAAAAGACACTAGTACATCCCCAATACTGAAAACAGAACCTGGAACATAACATTAGCTTGATAAATCAAGCAAAGAAGTGAATGAGTGAAGAGGGCTGTTTAGATATTCAAGCAGGTGGATTAAGTTAAAGCCCAATGGATATCTGAGTAAAACTGCAAAGGAACCAGCTTGACTCAAGAGGAATGTCTGTATTCTGAAAGTACTTGGGCAGGGAAGACAGGCTAGAACCACACTTGAATGAGAAAGATGAGAATGGATTTTCCCTCTGCAGAAAAGAGAGAACAAGGTATTGACAATGTTGAGGAAGAAAAATCTGGTAGTGTCTTTAGTAAAATGGGGCTAATAATAATGCCTGTCTCCAAGGATTGCTGTGCAGGCAGAATGTGATAATGCGCAGAAGCACTTAACTCCCCCCCCCCTCCACTGAAACCCACTGCTCGCGCGCCATCCAGAAGGGGGTACTAAGTATTAGCTGTTACCACTGCTGTTATGGTTCTGCAAGGAGAAAAATGCAAACTGACAGCTGGTGAAGGCCCCTCACTGAGGCTTGGTGGACGACAACCACAAAGAAGGGGCAAAATTAAATAAATAGAGAAGGAGCAGACAACGAGGAGGTAGGAGAACGAGACTACTCTGGCGTCAACGGAGCCAAGGAGGGCAAAAATTTCAGATAGCAGGGAGCAGTCAGACAAGGGGTCTGGAAACAGAACGTGGACTGAGAAAAATCAGACGGACCGGTCAGGTAGGAAGTCAGAAGGCGCTGTCCCAGGGCAAGAACTACCACAGAGCGAAAAGAAAAGTGAAAAGGAGGCAAAAACTAGGGAGACAGGACAGACACTGTAAGGTGATATGGTCCCAAACTCCACGTTTTAAAGTGGCTCCGAAATCTCTTCCATGGGGCGGGGGCTGTAAGAATGTTCAAGAAGGGAATGAACTTCTGCAGCATCCAGAGCAGACGCCTCGAACGGTTCGCTTCCTTGGCACCTGCTGCGGAGACCTCAGAAAAAGGCAGTAGTGACGCCGAGAAGTGCTCCCTTGTCCTTTCAGCCTCCCTCCATAGGCAATTATCCAATGAGTGAAGGAATGAATGAATCCCCAAAACACGCTCTTCCCAGGGCCAGACACCCAGAACTCGCCTGAGAAAGTACGGCTTGGCGTAGAACTTGAAGTCGACCCCCTCGAAGTAGACGTCGAACTCAGAGACCCGGGCGTAGGGCACGCGGATAGCGACAGTCAGGAAGTTGGAGTCCTGGCTGAGGTCGAACGCCGGGGTCAGCATCGCCGCACCAGACTCGGGTGCCCAAACTGCCCACTCTCGCAGCCGCCACGGTCCCGCCACTCAAACTCTCCAAGTCCGCGCGCTGAACTACCAGATCTGCTAGGTACGGCGCTTCCGGCGCGAGACGGAAGTGTTCGTGCGTGAGAGAGGAAGTCCCGCCCCACGCCGATCTCCATGGAGACGGGACTCGGTTAGTCGGGAGGTGGACCTGGTGAGTAAGGCTTTGTGAGTAGAAACTGAACCCAGGGCATAACTTGGAAGAACTCCGACAGGAGTTCGCCTTAGACCCACCAAGCCTCTTTGGAGGTTCTTACGGATGATTTTAACAGCTTTGGCTTTGCAGGCAGTGAGACCTGAGTTTGAATCCTGTCTCGCCAATTCCCAGCTGTAAGACCTTGGAAAACTTAGAAAACCTCTCCAAGCTTCAGATAGCTCTTCTATAAAATGAGAATAGAACCTAGCGGCACAGAGGTGATGTGAGGATAGCATGAAATTATGCACAACGTACGTAACAACGTAGCTGGCAAGTTGTCAATGCCCGGTGTGTTAGAGCAGTCACCGCAGTAGCCACAGAAGCATCGTTACTGTGGTTTTCCTTAGCTCTCACTTGCTTTGTCAACAATTCCCCTTTCTCCCTCTCAGTATTTCTCTGTTTCTCTCTCCTCCCTCCCCGCCTCCGCATGCCTCTGCCTCTATCTTTTTCTGCCACTTTTCTCCTCTTCCTAGTTCCTTATTTAAATAGTTTTCTCGTTCAGAGAGCGTCCATCTCACTTATTTAGTCTACCCTACGAACTCCGAAGAACACAACTTACGGAGGTTAAGCAATATGTCTCATAGTCATGCATTTCACAATTACCAGACTCCAGCACGTCTGACTCTTAAACCCTGTTAGTACCAGCACTGACGAATTGCAGTGCCTCTGTACTTTCCCCTCTTGCTTTTTCCCGCTTTTCTCCTTACACTTTTTCGAGGTCCTCTTTTCTGTCCTTTTTCCTTCTCTTCCTTGTATTTCCCCTTTTTAGTGTGTGCTGGTCATATTCTTCCAATGTCTCTCCCACTAGTTCCCTCTTCCCCCGAGTATTCCCGTGGCCTTGCCTCTCATTTCATTTCCTGTTATTCCACCAGTAACTAAAGTAGTTCAGGAAATGTATTTAAATGGTTTTAAATATCAGTGGAAGACAGGTGAAAGTCATCTCTGGGGACAGTGAGCCAGATAACGTCAAAAGCCTTTTCAACCCCCAATTTTTTCTGAGTCTTGAAAATTAGTTAGGACTCAGGAAAACATATTAACAGGAGTAAATAAAATTTAAAAATAAAAATAAAAATCACTCTGCTTAAATCTGGGAGTTTTGGTAACAACAAAATAAGAGATTATGTGTAAAAATAATTTAACAAGTACTCTTTACGAATTCATCCATTCCTTGGGTAGCAGAGGGATTAATTGAATTGATTGAATACTCAGTATCCTCTGCACTGTATCCTTTATAATGATTTCATTGTCCCATTCTGACAGCTCTATGAACTAAGCATTATATATCCCCGTGGTTTGCACAGGATTACACAGCTACTGAGTGGTGCCATGGGAATTGAAACCCAGGTGAGTCTGATTCTTGAGCCTAAGCTATAAAATACTACAGAGCTGACCACCTGCCCACCTCATTTCACATTGTTACCACATCCCTGCCTTAGACTACATTAAGCCTTACAAATAATATTGAAAATGAATTGATATAAACTTGGAATTAGTAAAGCCCTCAAAAGGTCCCTTGAGATAGGCCTTATTCCAGATTAGCTTCCCTGAAAATACTCCTTATATCTACTATGGGACCTCATTCCTGTATGTCACAAGCATTAATATTTTTAAATTATTAATGCCAAGGAACTAACTAAGACTGAAACTATGCATGAGAAAACTCTATTTGAAAACACTTTACAAAGTAGAGCTGTGCACTTCCTGGATATTCTTTGGCAACACAGACACACGATTACAATACAGATAAACAGACTATATAGTACATTTCCACTGTTATTTATTTATTTACAGGAAATATATACTGCATTTGCTGTATCACAAAATCCTGATAGATGCAACTATATAACAGGGATCTGTTGTTATTTTATTTGCATGACATAGTTCACTTTATTTTTGTATTTCTAATTAGTGGTAAATTACACAAGTTAAAAGCTCTTTCTCCTTTTTAAAAGACAAAATATTACAAATAAATTTCCCTTGACTGTTGTCCAACTTCGGTCCTTTCTCCTGCCTCCCCAAAGGCAATCCCTCTAGCCACTCTTGCAGACTTTATATTTCTATATGCATTTCTAGGTACCCTGTTACTTTATGTTTGTACGTGCATGGAGACATTATCACACTATAAATGTAAATCTGCAACATTATTTTATTATTTTTCTTGGGTGCTTTTTTAAACATACCAATGTTGATTTAGAGATCTAACTGAGTTCCTGTTGCTTGAAAATAAAGACCCTACTTCAACATTTCCTGTTAACTCTGCTTTAGAGGGAAAACAAGCAGGACTGAAATTTTTCATCATTTGTGAGCATTAAAAGTTGTTGTATTTTGTTTGTTCTTTCATTTCCTTAAGGTTTACTTTTGTAGTCAAATGCTCTACCCCTGAGCTATACCCTCTTTAAGGTTTACTTTTGGATGGCTTTGCACTATTTTAAAAATAGTTGTTTTCTGTGGCCAATTTATAGAGAAAAAGTGTATAATGTGGCATCTCCAATTATATTAAATTATTCCCTCTTTGGGTCTTGATTTTGATCCACAAGTTTCAAAATTAAATGTTATGTTTAAAAAATTTTTCTATAAACAATTTCAATTTCAGCCATATTACAAAGTTCTACTGTTTGAAGTCTTTTAATGGTGAAGTGCCCCTTGTTTCCAGAAGGTGGCAGGCGTATAGGCAAGTAAGACAATGCTATGTCAGAACAGTTTTAACCTATATTGGAAATAGCTTCCTGAATAAGCTGTTTATAACTATAGTTCATTCTCTGAGCCATTTGGGGGAGATGGTGGGATCTTACACAGAACCTGAAAACTGTACCTTAACTACTGTTATTATGTTGGTACACATCTTTTCAGACTCAGTCTATTCATAAAAGTACAGAAAGATTTTAAACAAAAATGGTATCATACTCTATATTTTCACTTTTTTCACCTAACATAGCATTATAATATTTATTTTGACTACTTTTTGGTCAAGAATATTATATCATAATTGTACCTTTCTTATTTGTCAGCGTTAATATTGTTAACTCTTAGAAAGTGAACAAGGTGAGATTCGTTTCAAGAGAGGAACAATATGAAACCAATGGTAGAATCATAAGCGTAGATCAGGAAATTAGAATAAAAATACAAAAGTTAGAATACAAACTAGATAACACATTTTTAAGTTTAAAAAAAATCCTTTTATATACAATGGGACTAGATAGCCTGAGTTTTGCAAATCTAAGTTATAAACTGATTCTAAGAGGGCTTGGATAACCTACAGATAAATACTAGATTGTAAAAGAGGTTTAAGGGATGGTCCCAACAGGATGCATACAGAGCAGTCTGACACTGGTGATGTCTCTAATGTTTTGAAAACCCCTTTAGAGTTAAGTACAACTGTTTTTTTCAATCAATATACCAATCCTTCAGCCCATTCAAAATGAGCACAGCTTTAGCAGTAATACAACATACTAATGGGTATTTCAGGTAAGATTTAGTCTCAGTTTTATACAAGTTCAGTGAGGAAATCTAAACCAGCTATAGCTGATCCCAGTGAGTTTTGTGTGTGTGTTTGGGACATTTTTGTGCAGTGTATAGCTAAGGGCTTAGCAACATATATTTCAAGATGCTAGTCCCATCCCAGTAGATGAAATGCACATCACAAGGGAATGCTAACCAAACAGCATTTTGAACTTCCTTCACTGTTTAATGCCATACACCTAAAAGACATCCATGAGAGGCACTGTTTGGATGCCCTGCCCAGACACTCTTTATGGAACCAGGGAGCCCATCTGTCACTGGCAGCAAAAGTTCTGGATGACCTCTTCTCCAAAGACTTGACCTAATCCAGGGTTTCTCTACCTCAGGTATTTTGGGGCCAGATTCTTTGTTGCAGGAAGCCGTCTTGTGCATCGTAAGATGTTTAACAGCATCCATGGCCTCTTATTTCTCAACGCCAGTACCAGCCCTGCTATTGTAACAACCACAAATATCTCCAGACTTTGCCAAATGTCTCCTAGGGGACAAAATTGCCCACAGTTAAAAATGACTGCTCTAGATTGATGGGAGTCTCCAGGAAGTAATCACTACCACCACCACATTCACCCACCCCAGGCCCACAACCATGAGGACTGGTATGGGTTACAGAAGACTGCCTTAAAGGGGCAGATGACTCCAGTGTGGCTTATGCTCCAAAGTTCCTTAAGGGATCAGGTCAAGAGTAGATTTTCCCTGAGCCCACATCCGCACTCAGCTTTTCCCCTTTCCCTGTCCTTCACTTCCTCCTTTACAGGTTTCTGCTTAGTAACACCCCACAATAAATCACATGCATCCAAATCCTTGTCTCAGGCTCTGCTTCTAGGGAGTAGGTCTAGGGCACCTAAACTCTATACACATTTTAAGGAACCTCTTAACATTCCTTATGCTCCTGCAAAACTGCTGGAGAAAAGTATCTACAACATCCAAGGCGAATACATGACAAGTTTTTATGTTACTTTTTTTAAAGTTCTTATAATCTGATTATCCTTAACATAAATAATCTTTTTTTTAATTCACATTACTATATATAAAACAGATTAAACAAAAAGGACCTACCATATAGCACAGGGAACTCTATTCAATGTCTTATAATAACCTATAATGGAACAAAGTCTGAAAAAGAATACACACACACACATACACACACACACACACACACACACACATATCTATATCTGAATCACTTAGCTGTACACCAAGGTTGTTTCCGTAGTGTAGTGGTTATCACGTTCACCTCACTTTGCTGTACACCAGAAACTAACACAGCATTATGAATCAACTATACTTCAATTTTAAAAAATAGTGAAAAGTTAAAAAAAATCCCAAAACCAGATACCTTCTACCTTTCCAAGTGATAAAACCACTCAGATAAGGGAGTTACCTAAGAACTTCTACGTGTCAAAAGAAAATAAAGCCAATCCAGAAGAGTTCATACTAGATGGTTAATGCAGGTTACAAAGCCCCACCTCCCTGCCTCAGATAGGACAACTCTGCAAACCATCCTGGCTCCAGAGCTCCCTGTAGAACTGGTGGAGGCTTTGGGTGCCAGTGCCATTTCCTCTTGGGGGGTGTATCTCCCAAGAGCATCCCCCCCACAAAACCATCTGCACTCAATAGTCCTTCTTAGAGTCTGTTTCCAGGAGCCCCAGTCTAAGATGCCATCCATGCTACAGGTCTACCCTTCTAAATAGACTAGAATACCTGTCTTGCTTCCAATACTGAAATGCCCAAAATTAACTCTACAGCCTCCTAATTTTTCTGCAGTGTCATTTCTGGGCATTTCTAAACCAAGGGGGCTTAAAGCCATGATTTTGCCTGTATTTTTTTTAAAACTATTGTCAAGATTCTATCTTCCTGAATGCCTTTTGATTTTTTCAGCCACTCAGAAGAGAAAACACTCAACAAAACTATGAGGTCTAAGGAGGAGAAAAATAGGTCCCTTTGCAATTTGAAACAATTTCTGTTGATTATGTGTATTGTAAACTCATTATAAGTACTTCTCTCTAAAGTTGAAATAAAATTTGGGAGTAGGGGGTTGAAATGCAGTAATGGATAAATGGAATAGCAGTGAAAGGCAATAGAGTGTAGGAATTAAGTCAGAGAGATCCAAAGATAGAGAAATGATGGTCGGGGAGGGTTGGAACAATTAGAAAAATCTCATCTCTGTTAAGTCTGGGGCCTGAGCAAAGGCTCACAGGAAAAAAAGTACAGATAAGTGGAGTGAAACCAGTTTACCTTATCTGATATGGAAGATACAAGAAATAAAACAACAAGCAGTGGGATTGGAAAAGAGTCTAGGGCAAACTGGTGAGCGTGATGAATGCCAAGGGAAAGAATTCTGCAGCTGAACAGGATTATAAAAACCATCTAGTACAACCAACTTTTTCTTTAAAGATAAAGAAATTAAAACCCAGAGAAATGGAGTGATTTGGGGATGGTCACATAGCAGGTGGGTGGCAAAAGTTAATACTCGAGGCTAAGACTTAAGTTTCTTATCTCCAGGAGCCCCCAATTGGTTAAAGAAATAGAATCACCATTCCATGTCTAAATCTAGATAAGCTTTCTCCTTTGGCATCAAAAATACCATGACATGTAAGCCCTAAATATCTGGGCAGATACTATGGTGTTTAAAGCCAGATTCTTTCCTTCGGAGAAAACTGTCACTTCTGTCCAGATAGCATTCTCTCTCTGGCTCTTCTGATGTGCTTATCCTGATTAGAGTGGGCCACCTGGCAAGCATGGAGGGCAGCCTCTGGCCAAAAGTCAGCAAAGACCAGAAACCCTCAGTCCAATGACCTGAAAGAAACCAGTCCTTCTAACAAGCATGTGAGTGAGCTTAGAACCAGACCCTCCACCAGTTGAATCTTCAGATGAGACCACCAGATGTGGGCCAACACTTTGATTACAGCCTTTTGTGAGCCTGTGAAACAGAGGATCCAGCTAAACTGTGCTGGATTCTTGACTCACAGGAAGCATGAGACTCTGTATGTATTATCTTAAACCACCAAATTTGGGGGTAGTTTGTTATGCAACCGTAGATAACTAACAGATGAAGTGAAGGAAACGGAAACTGAGGATAGCTTCTACCTGATTTCTGGCTTGAGCAACTGAGTATCTAGATGTGTCAAAATTCCAGGGGGAGAAGTAGATTTCTGGGGTAGGGGACACATAAGCCAGAATTTGGTATATTAGACACCCAAGTGAGAAATTGGGTGAATCATGAATATGGTATCTGGAACCCTTTTTCCATGATGTTAGATACCACAGTAGTAACCAAAACATGAGTTTGGACTCAGGGGAAAGAGGTAAATCAGGCCTTTCCTTTGCTTCAGCAAAGTTTAAGAACACAGAGTCCTCTGTTGAGTCAAACCTAGCTGTCCCAAGTTACCCTTTGGTGTTTGAGGTCAAAACCCTGGCTACTAATCAAGTGTTAGTGTACCTTATTTTATCCTTGTTGCATGTGTCTCCTTGAGGAAGAGGGGAGGTGGCAAGACAGAGTTTGGGAATTCTTGCTTAACTGGGCCACATAACAGCATAATAATGGCCATTTCTAAACTTGGAAGGTCAGAATATCAGGCCTTAGCCAGTGTTTCTCCACCAGGCCCCCAAGTTGGCAGTTGGTCCAGGACAAATCTTTGCAGTGCTGGAGTGTCCAGAGCATTGTAGGAGGTCTAGCAGACGCCAGCAGAACCTGCCAGTTATTGTCACAACCCAAACATCCTTCCCACAATTCCAAGTGCATCCTAGTGGGACAGTACCTCGCCCTCAGTGAGAATTAATAGATTTTGTGTGTGTGTGTGCTAGCTCACCTACAGCACCTGCCATTACACTTGAGCCTGCACCCTGACAGTTCCTAGGTGCCTGCTTGGTGAAAGGTTCATGGCATTTATATATTCTCATTCTTAGAACTTTAAATACGTAATGCTAAGAATTAGAACGTAATGCTAATATGAGAACAATTTGGAATTTTAGATGATTTATACGGCAACATGGAATCTTGCAGAAAATCAGAAACATTGTCATAACTGGTGTTCTTTGTTTCGTGGCTATGCTCAAAAGAGAGTCAATAGAATGCCACTGCCAGTTCATGGTGAATAATAAGAGGAGGTGTCCTTATGCTTCAGATAAGAGGATGCTCTGGAAGAATACTTGGGAAATTCTGGAACCTTGATCTGATGATTGTGGCTGTTAAAGTCTCAGGAGAATCTATTTCTACACTGGCTGGTGAAGTTATTATTCTATCTCAAATCTATGTCAGAAAGAAAAAAATGTGCATTTACCATATATATGACAAGCTATGTTTTATTGTCCTATTATGACAGAGCTTTTATTGGGCACCAATTGTGAACCAGGCACCATGCTAGTTTCTTTGAATGCTTTGTTTAATGTAATGCCCACAAACCGCCTCTGTGGAGAGCAGCAATATAATCACAGTTTGCTAACTGAAGGCAGAAGAAAGTTGCTCAACTTGCTCAGGACCACCTAGCCTGTGAGTGGCAGAGTCAGATTTCAAACCTGGACTCTAATGTTCACTTTAACTTGTTTAGACTACATGGATCTGGAGTGACGTTATCCTACAGATATCACCAAGTGCTAGGCCCTGCACGGGGCAAACGAGGTGGAGATGTCCCTGACTGATTGGATGTATGGATAGGTGCGTGAGTGCGTGAATAGATGGATAAAAATAAATGATGGGGACATGGCAAGGAATAATGAGGGAAGCTGATGAAGAGGGGATGGAATGGGACCCTAAGTGAATCAAAGACTGAATTGAGGAAATAAACTAGGGAATGGAAAGGAGTGGGGGAGAATGAATGAATGAATAAAGGAATGAATGAATGCATGCATGCATGAATTAGAGGTTTTGAGGCTGGAGCGCCTGGCGGCTGGCGGGTGGGCAGACGGGCGGCTACTACACACAGTACGGTAGGCGCGGTCTGCTCCTCCTCAGGCCCCGCTCACGCCTCCCCCTCCCTCCCTCTCTTCCTCCTCGGTTGCCCGCCCGTCGGCCGCCCGGACCCCAGTCCCCCGCGGGCGGGCGGAGGAGGCGGCCGCCGCGCGCCGCTGCCCTCTCCCCGCCGCCGCCGCCGCCGCCGCTCGGCGCGCCGCGATGCGCAGAGGGGCCGTGCCGCCCGGGGGCCGCTGCCGCCGCGCCGCACCATGAAGCTCCGCAACAAGGCGGCGGTGCTGCTCCTGCTCGCGCTGGCCGGGCTGCTGCTCGTGCTGCTGTCCCTGCGCGCCGGCCGCGCCGCACCCCCCGCGCCACTCGCGCGCCCCG